TACCAGAAACCATAGAGACACTTCTGAATATTGAGCATGTTGTACCACCAGATTAGCAAGTATTAATAGCAGCAAAAAATATTTAACAGACAAAAATAATATAGAAAACTGATAAAGTGACGTTAATGTAACCAGTAATTCTTTATAGAAGTCGTATAGATACAAATACAGAAAGACTTAAAATTATAATATTTTCTAATGTTTCAAACAGCGTCTTCTAGATGATAATCTGAAAAAAAAAAAAAGGAAAGCAATAAACTGTCAGTAATATTTTCAACAACAATAAACGTGCAAAACCGACGCCATATTTCAAGTTAACATCATCTCTCAACCAATTTTAAAGCCCTCCAAATAAACAACTCTTGGCTTACCAGTGATAAACAAAAAGATTAGATGACGAAAAAATCATCGCCAATAAAGCACCATCTCTCAAAATATTTGCAGTACGTAATCAAAAGAAAAAATTTAATACCAGGCCTCAAAAGATCTCCAAAACAGAAAAAAAAAATCTCGAACAAATAATCATTGGTTGGAATTGAACCAATCACTATTTATATAAAAATGGCAAAAGTACTAGAAAACACCATTTGATTCCATTACAGCAACCTCCCTTCTTTTTTTCGACTGTTTTCAAAACTGTCTTCAGATCTCAGAAACATCAGCAGCACCAATAACAATAAAGGCCAACTGATCCATAGCATTCTGCCAACCTATACGGTACAGCAACGAAGGAAACAGACAGGAAATTTGCCACTAAGCCAAAACAGCAACCGTTGACCAACACTCAAATAATATAAACAGTTTTAACTCTGTTCGTCATCAAAGTCACTTATTGAAAAGAATAAAAATTTTTCAATGTTCAATGTTCAAAGAATTGTTTGTTTCGAGTAATTTAAAAAAAAAGCATGAATGTTTTTACCGTCAAGTACTTTCCAGCAAAATGAATCAATAAATCCCATGATAACAGTAAAAATTACAATCGTCAAAAATATTTTTCAAAAAAATTTCTCCTCCTTCTTCTTTATCTTCCCGAAGTTCTAATTCTAATGTCACTCAAATGAATGTCTAAAACTAAAACCACTCTCAACAACAGTAATAGCAGCAACAAAAAAA